AGTTTTCTCCTCGTGTAAACGGCGCCTAAGACTAAGTGCCTTACTCTTGGCTAAAGCGTAATTAAGTAAACGTAAAGTAATCCTAAAATTGAGGACACTGCAACTTTGCCGATTACAGATTGATCAAATCACCACTGTGAATCTTATGCCTTAGCTGGATCTCTTATGATCCTAAGTTTTAAATGCTTTTGACTAGTGATTGCCTTAAAGCAAATCTTTAAGCTGCTGCTGGTTTTGATTTTATAGTTTGATAAATGACATTAACTAATGGTTTAAATGATAAAAGATATTAGTTTAAAACAAATATTTTTGCTATTATGTATCTGTGTTTTATGTGTGTTCATTATTGTGCTTATTGACAAAAGATGCTCCAAACACTGATGAGAGATAATTTTTCCTATTATGATTGCCTGTATCAATCATTGTGATTGAATGTTTCAATCTTATTCTACTTTGTGATGTAATTGAATGTAAGGTGAGACCACACTCGAATCTGAAGACGCCTATTGATTTAAGTATTGACCAGAATTATTATTAGACTAATGTTTTAAGGTTATCAAAAATGATAAAAAGAGAGGAACTGTTAAGGAATAATTCTTCTAGATATCTAACCTTTTGCTCTGTGACCGGTCAACTTGACTGGCACGAAGGGTAATTGTTGTGGGAACACTGAGGCACTTCTTTATCGGTGTTTGTGGGCTCTAGGATGTGAAATCCTTGAGGCCATGAGCGTCGGACGCAGGTGGCTCAGTGTTTAGTCTACTCCTTCAGAGATGTTGATTTCTCTCTGTGAACCAGTTAAAAGGTCTAGCATAGAGAGAGGTTCTTCAGAATTGACGTGGCAACTCTACCGTGTAGTCAGAACCTCTGACTCTTTGATTTGTGATGTGAATCCTCCGGCCGAATACTCTGAATAAACCCATCAGTGTTTGACATCAAAGCTCCAACTCTCACCGTGTCTCCTTCCTGAGTCGGTGACTCCATGCATTACTACACAGAAGTTTCCTCCACAAATTGGCTCGACCAAAAATCGCTTTTAAATGTGCTATATAAATAAAACCTGATTTGATTTGATGATTACACAAATGATTTGTTTGCAACTTATAGTTTTATTTTTGAAATTTATTTTAATTTTAAAATTTAATTTAATTTTGCTTGACTCAGTTTTTTTCTTCTTTTAAACTCATAGTTTTGCTTTATTCTGAGAAAGTGTTGCTTTATCTTTATGATACAAAACTAATCCCATATAATGACAACGTATCATCATTTTTAAGTGATCACTAAATTGTCGCAGCCAGCAGAGGGGACTGTCACTTTTCCCATGCTTCAGCTCTGCCTCCGAACCCGCCATCTTTATTACGGAGCGTCCACACAGCAGCGTTAAAAAAATGGGCAAACAACGTCCGTCGATGACGTAGAGATTTTCCTACCCTCCCCTTCAAGTGTGCCAACATGATAAAACTCAAGTATAAGCAACACTTGAGACTGAGCATGTCAGACTTAAGGTCTGGAAGAGAATAACCTTTTTTATGCCAAGGATTTTTTCACAAACAAGGAATTGACTTTTTGCAATGCTCTCAGTAGACATATGAAGGTAAAGAATAGACAGGACTATAATGTACAAAAGTAATAGGTGAACATGTAAAAAGTAAATAAATAAATGAAGTTGTCCATCTATCTGATCTGGGACATCCACGATAATAATATGAAGTCAAGTCAAATCCACTTTATTGTCAATTTCTGTGTCTGTGTTTGTGTGTGTGATACAAACAGGGAAATCGAAATGCCACTTCTCACAGTCCCAAATAATACAAAAATATAAATCCACTTAAAAATAACATAACAAAAATAACATAATAAATAATTAAGACTAGGCCTATATACAGTAGTTAGTTGATTAGATTTTGGTTATTTTACAAGTTGCCTTTTTTTTCTTGGCTTGTTTTATGCCAACCAGGTGTTTGCCATCATACCTGCATGGGTTTTATATAAACCACCCAAACAGTTAGTATAAACATCAAACCCATAATGTTGTATTTTTATTGACTCGAATTTAGGTAATTGTTAAGCTAATCTTGCAAGTTTTATTTTCCTATCACCCTGTTTGATTGATTGATTGAAAAGTTTATTAACAGCTTGTATATTGGGTACAGTACAGTACAGCTCAAAACATACAATTGTTAAGGGGATGCAGACCAGAGAAAGACTTTCGTCTTGTTTACATCAGGGTCCCCCATTTCCAATTCATCATATCATTTAAGACATATAAGACATATTTGACATACAGATGGCTTATTTACAATTTACATACAGGTGGTTTTTTACATACAGATGGCTTATTTACAATTTTCATTTTAGATTTCGTTCTAATACATCCTAACCGGACATTTAAGACATACCAAGTCTACAGATATACAGTTAGTAACAGAGTCTAAAATGCGAGTATATACATAGATGGGGGGGGGAAGCTGTCCATTGTACGACAGGTTGAGATTTGTACCATTACCGGGGCCAGTTTTGCAATGCTTTCCCCCGAAGGTGCTCTTTAAGAGAGGTTTTGAAGGTAAGTATAGTTTTACTTTCCTTTACAGTTGTGGGAAGAGCGTTCCACCTTGATGTGGCATAATTGCGATATGTGTATTCCCCTTTTTTTGTGCCAAATCTGGGTTTTACATGATTTGTGGAGCTCCCTCTGGTGTTATGATCATGGTATTCCTTGACCTTTGGGAAGAATTTTGACATGTACATGGGTACCATAGAGGTGTAGTGGATCTTGTAGACCAGGCCCATTGCAAGTAGCTGTACTCTGTCGTCTACTCTAAGCCATCCTAGGTTGTCAAAGTGGGCAGAGGTGAGGTGGGTTCTAGATGAAAGGTCAAGCAGTAGTCTGACCAGTTTATTTTGCGATGTTTGAAGTTTTATTTTTAGCGCCTTGGAGGTGCTATGGTACCATGACGTGCAAGCATAGTCATAGTACCCTTGAATGAGTGCTCCTGCCAGAGTTTTCAGGGTGTTTTTGTTTACCAGAGAGGAGATCCGGTATAGGAATCTAGTTCTTTGATTGACTTTTTTTATTACATTGGATGCCATTTTGTCACAGGAGAGGTTTGCCTCAAGAATAGATCCTAGGTATGTAATTTCCTTCTTACTTGTGACAATAATGTCACCCACTGCAACTGAGAAGTCGTCGGATTTGCTGAGATTATGTTTCGAACCGAAGAGAATGGACTCTGTTTTACCCAGGTGTAATGATAATTTATTATCGGCGAGCCAGGTGCAGATTCTGCCGAGCTCGGAGCTGAGGGTTTTTTCAACCTGCAATCTGCTCCTGTCAGAGACCAGCAGGGCTGAGTCGTCCGCGAACAGGAACAAGTTGCAGTCACATGCTGATGACATGTCATTTGCATAAATTAGGAACAGTAACGGACCTAATATGCTTCCTTGTGGAACACCACAGCTCACTGGGAGGGGGGGGGACATACTATATTATACATATACATACTATATATACATACTATAGTATGTCACTTACATACTGGGTTTGTTGGGACACACAGACAGTGTTTCAGCTAATGTACGACAAGCAGTGACCATACATTACTAGCTTACTTTTACTACTATTAACAATTCGTAAATAGTAATACATGATAATTCAGAATATCAATAGTATATATCAGGCTGTGTAAACAATATTAGCCCATAAGCTAAGCAGAAAGCTAGCCCTCCCCCAGTTCAGCTGTCACCTCCCTCCTCCTCACCAGCCGGGCCCGCTGCACTGCGTCCGCGAACGCATCTTTCTGGATGCCTCCTGCCCCGTTCCCGAGAGCTGTCTGCCCTCCCAGAGGGTCCCCGGGTCCCGCTGCAGGCACCGTATTGCACTCCGACATGTCGACCAGAAGACAGGTGCTGGAAAGAAAGCAGAAAAGCAGGAGTTGCGCAACACTGGGACGAAAAGTAAAAAAACTAACGGGTACAGGAAGGCAACGGAGAGAAACGACGGAGGCCTGTAAGGTGTTTTCGCGATTGCATTAATCTGTTATCATCATCAGTGTTGGTTGGAACCTATGGTTGGAACAAGTAATAATATTAAAAATACAAGTACAAATACTATGGTCTTAAAATATTCCACTACAAGTAAAAGTCCTGATTTAAATGTTCTACTTCAGTAAAAGTATAAAAGTAATTGTATCAAAATGTAATTCAAGTACAAAAAGTAAAAGTACTCATCTGCTCAATGACCTGATTCAGGATAATATAAAGTAGGCTACAGGAGTATTATCAGCTAAATGTACTTCAAGTTTCAACAGTGAAAGTACTCGTTATGCATCTTTTCACAGTATGTTATGAGGGTTTTAATTCTATCATGTTTTTACACATTTAAGAGCATTTCAGTGTAACTGGTCAATTTTGACCAAATGTTAAATATACTGTCGAGATTAATATTAAATGGACTACTGCATTATACTATATCAGCATGTGTGTTTTTATATTTACAAAGTAACGAGTAACTGTGAGCGTTAAAATAAATGTACTGGAGTAAAAAGTATGATATTCACCTCCGAAATGTTGTGGCGATGAAGTATAAAGTACAAAAATGTCAAAAAAGTACTTAAGTACAGTACTTGAGTAAATGTACTTAGTAACTTTCCACCAATGATCATCATAGGCCACATCAGCATTATGGTTGCCCTCATTTGGCTAGTTGTAACTTTAAGAGTATATTATATATACTTTTTATAATATTAAACCTTACCTCTGCATTCAATTATTATTGGTTTTAGTAATAAACCACCTCTGAGAGCAGAAGTCTAGGGGAATTAAATGCAAGCAGATATTCAAGTGTACAACAATAGTACAATTTATTTTTTAAATGAGTTCCATAACAAAACACATGATTGTCCATTAATATAAAGACGACATTACAAAAAAACAGTGGCCAAAGAAGGACTCAGATATTTTGCTTAAGTAATACCACAGAATGACAATACACTGAAACATCCTTCATTACAAGTTAAGGTCCTTTATTCAATGTTATCAAAGTAAAATAACTGTGTTAGCATCATAAATCAAGTATCTAGCCAACTAAAAAGTAGCCTACCTATATAGAATGGCCCATTTCAGAATAATGTATGATAAATTGATGAATTACTTTGTACATAATTGTATGCAACTGACAAAGGTGGGGGTATTTCTAACAAACAGATAGGCCTTCTGCTGGATTGCTTTACCATCAATAATATATCACCATTAATTAGTTCAAGGTTTAAGGTTCAAGGCTTTTATTAGTCATACGTACATAGCTATAGTGTAGTTATGACGATGAAAATCTTAGGTCACAGGCTCCTCCAACAGTGTAACACAATAAAACCGAAAAACCGAAAAGATAGTGCAAGTAAATAAGTAAAAATAGTAAATTAGTAAAATTGTGAAAAAGTGCAATAAGAGTCTATATACAAGTTATTGGAATATGATATATTAGATAAATCATTTCTAAGTTGCAGCCAGATGAATGTTATGGATGTTGTTTCAAAAGTTCAGGTTTTTAATAGTCTTATGGCCTGTGGGATGAAACTGTCCCTGAGTCTGGTGGTTAGTCCGGAATCGGATGCTGCGGTATCGCCTGCCAGACTGATATTTGGGGGAAATTCTGAATCTTTAAATGATTTAATGTTCTGCATACAATTAAAATGTTCTATTCATGATATGCTATAACATGCTTTTTTACACTGTTACAGGGAAGACCCGAAAATATAATCTCTGCATTGACATGATTACATAATCACATTAAATAATGAACATTGAACATAACATACATAGTATTGGCTGCATCAGAAAGTAATACAGCTAGATAATCACCAAGTTTCTGGCAGGGTCCAACAGTGTTTGGAAAACTGTGCTTTCTGTGCACGTTTTCTCTTTTGTTACCATAGTTACCAGCCTGCTTGTGTGTGCTAAAAAGAGTGCCTGCGTTTTGTTTCTTCAATGTGTGTCAAGACCCTGCCATGGACAATAGACTCTAACTTCCTTTGTTGATGTTTATCTGACAAAAACCTTGTCATTCGTTGATGATTGTCGTCTGTCAGGAGGCTTTGGTCCAACATCTCCACATCACTGGCTGAAATACTCATGCTGTCGACCCCAGAGGTGACATCAGAGCCCCCAAATCTAACGCTCAGCCATTCAGTCACTTTGGCACGTTCTCTTTGACTCCAAAATGTGCCCCCAACTTCTATGGGAACATCTCCACTCACTGAAAACAGAATTTGAATAGTGTAACTACTTTTGTTGGAAATGGTCTGGATGTCAACGAAAAATGACCAATGCCAAAATATTGAAAATCCTTCAATATGTTGTCTAAAATGTGTGATGATTCCATTCTCATGTAAACAAAACAATATTGACGTCAGCAAAAATAAAATAAATAAAGTGTATGATAAGTTGTTAATGTAAAAATTACAAGACATTTCGATACATCGTAGGTTGAGACAATGGCACTAATATAATCAAGGTCATGTCTATTGATGGTATGATAAATCGGTAACATAAAATCTGATTGAAGTCATGTCCACATACAGTACGACAGGCTAATAGTGTTCAGATTATAAAGGTCTGGTCAATATGTTGCACGTTAAGTTGGTAACATAAATGTTATTGAGGCAATAACCACATTTAATACGATAATTCGATAACATTATTATCGTAACAGGCCATATGGTCTATCTTACATTTTAAAACAATTTAAAAACATGTCCTAGATTAACTGAGTAATATCAAACTCACTGCTCGGAGTGAAGGCTCCATCCATGCTTGCGTTCATCTTCATAGATGGTACGATCGGTTCTTCTGGTTCTTGTGCAACAGCTTTCAACATCCTGTCGATTAGCTCCTGCTCCCTCCTGTTCCACTCCTCTTGCCACTGCGTTGGTTTCCGCTTGTTCCCCATTTTGTCTTCAGCGGCAAAGTATTGGCCCTTGTTTCGTGTTATCATGTCAAACATTTTCTCAAACAGCTGTATGATAGGTAAAGCAAAACAACCATATGGATTGCAGTTCATGGCATGATATCTGTACCCACACTTTTCCACCAGCTGTTCCAGGTGTTCGCCTTCTGTGGCAATGTGCTCCTCAATGGATCTTTCCTTGAGCCAGTCTTCCCAGGTAAACAGCACCATGCAGTGCCTCCAGACACTGTCACCGAATGGCATCAAGAGCTCAACCATTGTTTTGTAGTCATTCTCTGTAAAGGTTTTGAAAATGGGTACAACCAAGAGAAAAGCATTAGGACCAGGAGCACACATTGAGACGCTGCGCAGAACTTCACTCTTGAGCCAGTCGGGTGTGATCTCGTCTGCAAACCAGCCTGGTGCCTCAACCACGGTGATGTTTCGTCGAGCAACATTTCTTTCATGTTTCTCACACATTGTGGTTCTTCTCTGATCTTGGAATTCCTGCATAGAAGTAACCAAACAAAATAATATGACAACCAAAACAGACTTCAACAATCAGATGTTTCCCCCGAAAAAACCTGTAGAGGTTTGTTACCTTCTTCATCCAAGCTGTGCCAAACAGCTCTTCAAAAAGGATCATGTTTCCTGCCATACCCTTCCCAGAGTCTTTCGGCCCGATAAGTACAACCTTATGGTCAGTGATTGTCTGCGTCTCCCCTTGGGAAATGTGAGTTTTTTTTCAATTAGAAATAGTAATAATAATTAAATTAATCATACATTCAGTTTTTTTATTACCTCGAAACAACTCTTTGAGTATTCTTGCTTGTCTTTGGGCCGTCTGACGAATACTTTTTGCCTTCTTGTCTGTAACCTCTTTTCTTGCCTCCATCTGCTCAGCACGGCCCAGGTTGACTTCAAAATGACCATCTTTGTTTCCTGCCCACATCTCTTCAATCTTCTCAAGGAGCTCCGTTACCTGAGTCTCGTCACTGTGGTTTTTGTTATCCAAGACATGATACATGTTCCCACACTTCTCCACAAGCCACTGCAGACCCTTCTCACTCTCAATGCGCTCTTCCACAGTCTTCACTCCCAGCCAGTCACCTCTGGTAAACAGAACAATTGTGTGCTTCCAGACTTCATCCGTGAACAGACTCATGTGCTCCTGGACCGCTTTCTGGTATGTTGCGTTGAACGCGGATGCCAGGCCGACAACAAGGAGCACTGCGTGGGGTCCTGAAGTGCACAGATGCATGCTGTTTTCTATTTCAAGTTTATTAATCTCGGAGAGCTCCTGAAGGGTGCCGTTGTATAACCAGCCTGGAGAGTCAACCACTGTGAGCTGCCTATCTGCCACCATGCTGTGGTTTATTTCGCAGCACACAGTTGTTCTCATGTGAGTAACAGGAAATGCATATTTCCTTAGAATGGTGTTGCCTGCTGAGCTCTTGGCTGACCACTGTGCACCAACCATCACTAGCCTCAAATGTGTTGGGGGAGTTTTGCCACCTAGAGACAAAGTGGAATTAAAAGATATTCAGACTTGAGGTTTTGTGCATCATTATGTAATTGTCAGGTTGACCATCAAGACTTTTTTAACTATTCAAACACCTAAGTCAGTAAAATCAGAAACTTCTCAAAGGGAAAAAAAGAGTTTAAATCAATCTAGGAGGACGTGAGGTATCTTTGCAGGTATCATTTGCATTGTAATGTCAAAAGGCTATTGATAAATGGTATCTTCGTCATATTTGTCTGCATTTTAGAGACATTTCTGACTTACCTTCAATCAGGGCTTTGAGTTTCCTTCTTTTTGCCTGCACTTCGGCAAACCTCTTTGATGCTCTTTCAACGATTGCTTCCATTTTCTCTCTCAGAGCACTCCCATCAGCAGCATCAATAGAATAGTGACCAGCAGCATTTTGTGCAATCATTGCCTCTATTTTCTCGAAAAGCCTTGTGACCTGAGTCCTATCCTGGTGGTTGCTGATGTTGAAAACATGCTTTCGGTTTCCACATTGTTGAAGAATCATCTGAAGTGCTGGCCAGAAAGGGATGTCGTATTTTAAACTTGTTTTACATGGATCATCTACAGTGAACAGCACAATGGTTTGATCAAAGACTCCTTTATTGAAGAGTTGCATGTGCTCTTCTAGGGATTCCTTGAAAATGTCAGAAAAGTCTTCTTCTAAAGGAATGACTAGAAGAAATATGTGAGGCCCTGGGGGACACAGATGAACGCTGTTCTTGATTTCTATCTGATCCAGCTCTGGGGTGTTTTCTTGTGGGTAGTGGCACCACCAGCCTGGAGTATCAACCACAGTGACCCGTCTGCCATGTACCTCCCGCTGACTCACAACACTCTGGGCAGTTCTTCTGTTGGTCTCAAAAACACTTTTGCCAAGTATGATGTTGCCAGCTGTACTTTTAAAACTGGGGTCACTGGTTAATACTCTTCCACCTAATAACACAATCCTCAACTCTGGAGGGTGCTTAGTTTGCCCTGTAAGAGATATAACAAATTTCCCGTTTACACACATGCATTATATAAATCTAGAACATTTTCATGATCTGTCTATTTGCATGAAAAGTATAGCTTTGACAACAATGTCATTGCAACATTAAATTCACTTATACTAAAACACACATCTGTCATCAGGAAATCCTGCTGTGAAGGACTGTCACATACCAGCTTATACAAGCGGTATGGCTTGTGTGGTGGCAATATCAGTACATAATGAAAAGTAAAAACTGTTCTGTCTTTGAGTTTAAATCATATATCTGCAGATCTACCGACAAGCTCAGTAAAATTTGTGAAATGAGCGAGTGATGTTTTTTTTATACACATTAATAGTGAATGCACAAACTTACATTTGCAAGGTAATAAACATATAGTGCATTAATAATCATCTATGAGCGAGAAAGGCATCTTTAAAATACAGCTGAGTAATTCAAGGCATCTTATCCTTATTGTGTACCGACATTCAGTGAAACACTAGCATGATTACAATCTCCTCACAGAAACTGGAACTGGAAAATCCCCTGCAGATCTGGACATTTCCATCACACCTAATAACCTTTTCCCCATATTTACAGCAACAAACAAATGCTGATAACTCAGGAAAAGTATTGTTTTATTATTAAAGTTGAATTCAGATTCAATTCTAATAATAAAACAATTCATCATGATTTTGAAAAGCCTAAGCAGGGATAAAAGCCAGCAATTAGTTTCAATAAACATAATTACCTTGACATACAATAACTTTTTCTTTATTAACAATGTGTAATTGTCTCTATTGAACAAATACAATGACAACAATGTGATTAACAAATCAATAAATAAACACTTGTATTACATAAATGTCCTAAACAATGCAGAAAAGGTCGCAGAACAACATTATTGTCCTAAGTTTATTAACAATAGTCATATGAGCTTAAACTTTACCTTTTGTTTCCATTGCCACTGTTGACTTTTCTTCTCCAATCGAGTGACTCTATTGAAGATAACTCGGCTAAATCCCCAGCACCAATGCCAGATTCACTGTTTATGCGTGTATGGGGACTGAGATACGGATAAACAGGGAAGTCAAATTTGCCTAGTATAATGTTACACCTCTGCACACCACTCTGTTTTATTTGTACAAGAATAGGGTGTGGTTTGTTACATTGGACTTGTAGTGGCAATTTCTTATTTTACCTTATATGGTAAAACCATAGACTGTATATATAAATGGACGTAGTGTCCGTGATGTCACCCATAGGATTCTGCAGAGTTGCAGAGAAGGGTAAAACCAAATGCAACAGTTCTATGATGACACGTGTATTCAGTACATGTCCTTGCTTGACCATTGTTTGAGTGATTCTACAATTTAGGGTACATTCCATGTCCATTGATGTCCATTGATGATAATTATAATTATTCTAACTATTTTCTTCAAAAATATCATATTTTGCCTATTATTGGAAAGCATGTTATAATATCACACAAACATTATGTGTATCCTATGCTTTATTTAGCTTGAAATGTGTCATGATGTTCTTAAATTGTCAGTTTTTGCTCTGTCCGTTTTTCAGTTGAGGGTGTCTTGGTTTCAAAATAATGAATAAAAACCATTAAAGTAAATAAAAAAAAGTATTCATTTATTTCAAAAGTCTAAATACTAAAGAATAATAACATATTTTTAATTGATTTCCTCCTTTAAATAATTTAAATATCTTAATATATGAATGTCCGCAAAAGTTCTGTCAACTATGTTACTAACAGAACTCCCCCTTTAACTCAAAAATGGTTTGTCCCAATACCATGTCACCAGCATCACATGATGCCATGTTCCTCTTTGGCAGACATTTTGAACACACTGTGGTGATTGTCCTCTAATTTTTTACAATATTTTATGTATAATAGCACATTGTCAATGAGTATATTAATTGACCATCAACAATGTTACGTACATTGTTATGGTTTACAATTGTTTAATGACTTTAATTCAATTATATGTTCAAATGTGATGTTAACCTGTTCAAGAAAATGACATGTGGTCATCCAAGCAAGGCCTACCATTGAAATGATGGGTCAAAATAGGGAAATTGTCAACTAGGTTACCTGTCAACTAAGTTACCCAGTACTGTAATAACTGTAGTAACTTAGTTGACAGGTAACCTAGTTGACAATTTGTATGACATGTAGACGTCATTACACATCATTATCAATGGAATTTTGCACTTCTGCCTTGAAATGAACATAGTGCTGATGGTTAATAATGTGTCCAGTCAACTATGTTATTTGCGTCAAATGTTTGACTTTCATTGTCAACTATGTTGCACCTCATTTTTTCAAATTTAAAATATCTAAAATAGTGCTTCTGATATCCTTTATAGTATAATGTATATCTACACAGGTTGGAGTTTTACATGACATCTCTTAAAACTATCAAAATGACCTGTATGGTAGTTTTATAATACAAAATAGCCCTAAACTTAATGACAGTGCTGAACATATCACATGAAAAAACAAAACTTTAATACAATTATTTTTTAAACTTTAAAAAAATCTTTGGATATATGGTAGAATAGACTCAAGAGCCTTTCAAATTTGATTTTACTTGAAGTGCAGGACTTAATCAAATGATTGTAATGGCATCAAGTTTGTCCGTAACATAGTTGACAAACTGAGTAGTGAAAACATCCTTTCCCTTAAACTAACTTGAACCACTGATTGTTCTATTGAGAAAGAACACTTTCTTTGTACTGTTTTGTTGATGTGAAATGCACCCTAAATTATAGAATCACTCGTTTAACCTTTAACTGTGTCTGGGTGTCAGACACCACCGCACCCAGACGTTTCCTGTCACTATCACACTTGCACAGTTCCTGTTTCTAAAAAGAGCAGTGCACAGTTCCTGTTTCACCAAGAAGAACCGGCAACTGAGTGAACTGACCCACTCTGTTGTGCAACATGTACTATTGTAACAATCTGCATGGCAACGGCATAGCAAGGGTGGGACTGCGCCTGGATGTAGCTCAATGGCGCAGTCATAGGGCCGATGAGGTGGGAGAGATGTCGCCTTAGTCTTGCTAAAAACCTCCTTAAAGTCCAAATATTCTGCCGGAACCCCTGTGACATCCGGAACCAGGTTCATATCCACAGATAGTTGAGGTGCGGCGGCCTGCTTGAGGCAAACCTGATGACAGGAGGAACTCCAACCTAGGATGGACCCAGTTGCCCAGTCAATGTTCAGGTTGTGGCGGCGGAGCCATGGATAACCCAAAATCAGAGGAATTTGGGGGGACCGTAGCACATGAAACTGGATTGTCTCATGGTGGTTCCCCGACATGAGCATATGGACCGGTGTCGTCTGGTGTGTCACCGTTCCCAGCAGGTGACCATCCAAAGCATTAGCCGGTACCGGCTGGGGCAGCTGAACCTGTTGGATGCCCAGCTGTAGTGCGAGCTCCTCGTCAATGATGCTGACATCTGATCCGGAGTCGATAAAAACAGCCAGAGCCTGAGATTTGCCTGTCAGGAGGAGTCGAGCATGGCACAAGGGTCTTACATTGGGGATCAGCTCAGAGGTTTGGCCCACCAGTATACTCCCCATTACTGATGAGCTCTGCCTTTTACCGGACAACGGGAAACAAAATGTCCAGTCTGACCACAGTAAAGGCATAGATTACCTCTTCGACGTAATTCCTTCTCCTCAGAGGTAAGACTGGTACAACCCACTTGCATGGGCTCGACCTCCCCGTACCGTGAGTCAGAGTAGGGGTGGGAATTCTCCGCCGAAACCGGAAGTCGAAATCTCCCGCAAACCGGAAGTTGTTGTCGCGAGCAGCGGCCCGCCGCTCACGTCTGTTGCTCTCCTCTCCGGGTCTGGATTCGTCTGTCAATCCGAGAGGTGAGCTCGATCAACCCATCCAAGGAAGCAGGGAGATCATAGGAAACCAGCTCATCTCTCATATAATCCGCTAATCCTCTCAGATATGCGTCACACTGCGCCGGCTCGTTCCAGCTGCTGCGGCGGCTGCTGGTGCGGAAGTCAATAGCGTAATCTACCACCGTGCCGGAACCCTGGCTCAAACTCAGCAGACCTCCGGCAGCGTCGGGACCCAGATGAACGGAACCGAACACCTTCCGCATCTCCGTGGAAAATGCAGCAAAAGAGGCGCAGGCTGGAGTCTGCTGCTCCCACTCTGCAGTACCCCATAAACGGGCTTTCCCCGTCAGATGATTAACGGTGAAAGCTACGCGAGCCGCCTCAGGGGCAAAGGTGTGTGGCTGCAGTGAAAACAATATGGAACAGTTTGTGAGAAAAGGACTGCATCCCTCAGGCTCACCAGCGTAGCGTTCCGGAGTTCCCACACGAGGCTCCGGAGCGTATCCAGTCGGTCCAGAGGCTGGAGTGAACATCGGAGCTGCGGGCGGAGGGCCGGTAGCAGCCATGGTAGTGGCTAGCTGTCGTACGGTGGGCGGCCATCTGCTGCATCTGGGAGGTCAGGTAAGCCAGCGTTTGTCCCTGGGTTGAGGTTGCCTGGTGGGTCTCGGTAGCTAAGGTAGCTATCGTGACCTCCTGTCTTTGGATGGCTTCCTCAACCCTCTCAAAGCGGTTTCTAGGAGACCCGGTGTTTGCTTGGTCCATTTCTGGCCAGATCGTTCTGTCACAAACGAGCTGAGAACCAAATGCAACACACGGGAAACCAGGGATAGTCGGTAAGAGACGAAACGGCAGATAGTAGGCAAAGGGCTGGTCGGGGACAGGCGAGGGTTCCAGGAGAAAGCAAGACGGGAGTCGCAGGTACAGGCCGGGTCAGGGAGCAGGCGAGGCAGAATAGTCCGGGTACAGGCAGGGTCAGGAAACAGGCGAGGCAGGCTGGTCAGGGACAGGCAGGGTCGAAACCGGGAGAGCAATCTGGAAGATAAGGCGGGAAAGACTGGCATGCTGCAAAGTACGATCTGGCACTGAGGTGAAAGTGAAGTGGGCCTATATACTAAAGGAGCTGATGGGTGTAATGGCGCGTTTCCACTACAGCGCGGAGCACGGTTTAAGAGGGCTGTGACGTCAGCGGCCCGTTTTTGGTTGCGTTTCCACTTGGCCTAGTACCGGCCGGCGGGTCCTAATTCACAGTTTTTCTGGCCTCAGAAAATCGTGGGTCTAGGGCTAGAGACAACGAGGCTGAGTCGGGCTGAGTATGCTAAACTAGAGAGAATCGCTGGCAAGGGGGCTACAACTACAACAAGATGGACATATTTGACCGTGATTTAATTGTAATACACGTTTCAAAATGATGACGAAGTAACAACATACTGATACCGGTTAGTAAAAACCATGAATTAATGCTTTGACAAGTCTGCAGACAGACGGCAGGCGAAAAACCTTTTAAAATGCGTGTTTTCTAAATGGAGATTGGCTAAGCTAACGCAGTATATGCTCCGACCGTCCACACTCACAACAACGGCCTATACAGACATAAATAAAGCGGCGACTGTATTCGCCATGACACAGGCAGTCTGTGGTTTGTACTTGTTTAACTTTTGTCTAGTTTCTGAACATATATGAGGAGCTGTGAGCTCTGAGTGCTAACAGCTAACGGCTGTGTTGTTTTTCTGGGGTTCTCATTGAAGATGACGTCACGGCTCCGCCTACACTGCGTTACTATAGATACTACCCCAGTTCCTAAACTGTAATGGAAATGCGCCATAAAGTGAGCCAGTCCTAACGAGGCCTAGCCATACCGAGCGAGGCCGAGCGAGGCCGTGTAGTGGAAATGCGCCATTACAGAGTGAGAGAGAGAGACAGGGTGTGACTACCAGGTGACTAAGGAATGTTAATGCAGAAAATAGGTGAGTGAGAAAGCAGACTGTGACAATACCTATATAAGGTATATTTATACGTTTCTGTTTTCAAAATACCAAACAGATCATGCATTTTAGCCATGCCTCATTTCGCTCTATTTGCTGTTCTCCAGCCCTGTTTTTGCAGGGGGCTGATTCTGTGAGCTGCAGCTGACCACGCCCCCCTGCAGGAGAGGGTAGCGTGCTCTGATCAAGTCAGAAGAGGGGGAGAAAAATAGATCTATAGCCTATTATTATATAGAGTCGTTATTAATTTGTTTTAAAGCTCAATAAATAACAAAGAAGACCTTTGACCGGCACTTTTCTAACAACCGGGGACACATATTCATGTATAAAAGACGTACAAAAGTGCATTTTGCATGATAGGTCCCCTTTAAATCATAAAAGGAAATTCAGTGACGTTACAACAATGTAGTTGATAGTATTACAGTAAACATGCCTCTTTTTAATACATTGTGATCATTTTTCTCATCGGTGATCAATGCCTACCTGACACTCATTGTAAGAAGATTCAACCAGTGCAATGACGGTCAAGCAGCTGTTATTGACAGCTACGCTATGACCGCCATCTGGAAACACAAATTTGGAAGATGATTGTCCATGATTGGAATGACTTTGCATTTGTAAATGTTGCAAATGTGCATTTTTCAACAGAAATGTAATACTTTTGCAACTACTCTCAGGTTGATCCAATGGCACACACAGTCATCATGGGAATTGTGAATGAGAACCATCACTGGATGTTGGTGGTGAGAATAGGAGCATATGTTAAGCTCCAATCTGTATCTATAGTACTGTATACACCATATATAATTAGCCATTTGCAAGATAACCTGGCCACACATACATGCTGTCACTTATTATTAATAACATATAAACAATACCCTACATCGTACCTGCCTAATGTATGGTTCCTGCCTAATGCATGTTGTGTTTCCATGTGAAGAAAACCCTCTTCTTGGATCCACTTGGAGAAGGGAAAGGCAAAATGAAGGTGTGCCTGCAGTCTACAAGGTAAATTTGATATAGTGTACTAGTTCCGGTGTTGTATGAGTTTTTTGACAATGATGTGCTGCATCTTGACACATGTACTACTGTATCTACATACTGTAGAGCCTTTATGAGGATGAAAGGCTGCAAGGTGTCAAGGTGGACATGCAGTACCCTCCCCCATAATCGTCAACAAGACAGCACATCCTGTGGTGTCCTGGCCTTAAAAGTGAGTGTGAAATGCATTTACCCAAACATTACTCTCAAATTCAAATTCAGTAGCAATTAGACTGAATATCTTGACTTGCTTTTATACATCTTGATCAAAGATGTATTGAATTGTGTAAAACTACACATATACAACATGTAATTCTTTAAATCTGTTGGGTAATTTGTCTGTATTCTGTCATAAAATGCACCCCACCCAAAAATATGTTTCTATTAATCCCACCCTCAAGCATTTTTTAGGGTATAGTTGTAGGACTAGTACCAATGAATGGAGCAAGTTTCATGAATGTGACACTTTTATTTTGTAAGATAGCAAGGGGGGGCATATTGTGATAACCAGGCCTGTCATAAAATGCACCCCACCCAAAAAGATGTTTGTATTAATCCCACCCTCAAGCATTTTTCAGGGTACGAGAAAAATTTGTGCACAGATGGAAGGCTGACAGGCAGGTAGGCTATCCAGTTATTTTAGCCGGGCTGGCTAAAATGATTGGTCGTGCTTTTTACAGCGCCACGGCTTGCACAGATGACATTTTTTTATGGATTTTTTGTCAAAGCACTTAAGATATTCATTGCTATCGGGATGTTAAGAGCATTCCATGGAATATAACAAAAAGTGTATCTCGAGCCGGTTTCTCAAACTTACCTACCCCACCTTTAACAGCAGCAGTGTGTTCAGGTATTAAAATATTTAAAGTTGGAATAAAGTATAAACTACACAACACAAGTATAATGCACAGCAATCCATAAGATAAGTCCAACACAAACGTGGCCGAGTGGACTCCGGAGTTTGCTGCATGAGTTGCACTGTATGATCTGTGGTGTAGTGGGCTGTCACTCAAAAACTGAGTAGCCAATGGGGACACACCCCTGAAAGTCCCGCCCACCTGGGATGTTTGTGTCAAAATCGTCAAAATCGAAAACAAAAAATGAGGGAGCACAAACCTGCAGCGAGAGCAAAAGTCTGATCATTGAGAAAGAAGAAACAAGAACTGCAAACAAAAACCTATGTTAAAACAAAGAAAAAATACTTATAGTTTACATCACGCTGAGTGACGTGACGTGATTCAAGATGGCGCCTGTGTCGGCTCGCCGCTCCCTCAGCTCTCTACCTTTAGCTATCCTGTTTTTGTTTTATGTTTGTCAGAATGTCTCTGCTCTGCTCGTTTATGATCGCCAAGCTCTCCTCCACCTCAGACCCTCACTGGAGTTGATATTGCTGCCCAAACCTACATCTGGCAACCATAAATCGTCCCCCCCCCCCTCTACTGTTGAATATTCCCACCTACCTGCGCCGGTTGCCCTGCATCCTGCCTCGCCGAAAGCGCTTTAGACGACGAGGAAAGCGTGGTGGTGCACTGGTCCATCTTAAGGCATACCTGACGGCTTCTTCTGGGACTTATCCACGCCTCGGATGTCATGGCCCTCCCGCTGCACGCCATGTGAGGGATCTGCTCCTAGCCGCCGACTCAGGTAGCCCAGCTGTCTTGGTGCTGTTAGACCTGACAGCTGCCTTTGACACTGTGGACCATAGCATCCTGCTGTCACGGCTTGAACAGTCCACTGGCATCACAGGCTCTGCCCTTGCATGGTTCAGGTCCTACCTGACAGACCGTAGCTTCTCGGTACAGCTAGGTGCCTTCTCCTCTGCCAAAGCCCCTCTTACCTGTGGGGTTCCCCAAGGCTCGATTCTGGGCCCCATCCTTTTTCTACTGTACATACTGCCCCTCGGTTCAATTCTCACAAAACATAATATTCCCTTCCACTGCTACGCCGACGATGTACAGATCTATCTGCCTCTCAAAGCAAATGTCAAACACTCACTACAGCAGTTGATGGACTGCTTAACAGAGATAAAATCCTGGCTGAGCAAAAACTTTCTCAACCTCAACGAGAGCAAGACTGAGGTCATCTTTTTTGGACCCCAACCTCCAGCCTCTCCGGTTGATATTCTGGGCTCTCTCAAAAAAAACATCCTCCCCTCGGTCATGAACCTTGGAGTGACCTTCACTAGCACTTTTAAATTCGACAAGCAGGTCAGCACCGTAGTCAAATCCTGCTTTTTTAAAATAAGACTATTGGCCAAGTCGTATTTATCTTTTAATGACTTAGAAAGGGTTATTAATGCCTTTGTTACCTCAAGACTGGACTATTGCAACGCTCTGTATGTGGGTATGGACCAGGCCTCAATTAAACGCCTGCAGCTAGTCCAATACGCAGCTGCACGTTTGCTGACTGGCCACAAAAAGCGTGACCACATCACCCCTATTCTGGCCTCACTACACTGGCTTCCAGTTCGGTTCAGAATTGATTTTAAAATCCTTTTATTTGTTTTTAAAGCACTAAATGGGCTGGCTCCGGCCTATATAGCTGAACTCCTCCAGCGCTACACCCCCAGCCAGAGCTTTAAGGTCTGCTGACCAGCTGCTGCTGGTAGTGCCCAAGACCAGGCTTAAAACCCGAGGGCACCGAGCCTTCGCAGCAGCTGGCCCTAGGCTCTGGAACACTCTGCCCCTCCATGTGAGGTCGGCCCAGACCCTAGGGGTTTTTAAATCTACACTAAAAACACACTTCTTCTCTCTGGCTTTCTAGTTAGAGCGGAGCACGACTCCTGACTTTTCCTTGTGTTTTTTTTTATTTTATTTTTTATATATATCTGTTGTAATTTATTGTCTTTTATTGTGATTGTAGTAATGTGTTTTTATTACATGTACAGTACTTTGTTAAGGAATAATAATAATAATAATAATAATTCTTCTAGATATCTAACCTTTTGCTCTGTGACCGGTCAACTTGTCTGGCACGAAGGGTAATTGTTGTGGGAACACTGAGGCACTTCTTTATTGGTGTTTGTGGGCTCTAGGATGTGAAATCCTTGAGGCCATGAGCGTCGGACGCAGGTGGCTCAGTGTTTAGTCTACTCCTTCAGAGATGTTGATTTCTCTCTGTGAACCAGTTAAAAGGTCTAGCATAGAGAGAGGTTCTTCAGAATTGACGTGGCAACTCTACCGTGTAGTCAGAACCTCTGACTCTTTGATTTGTGATGTGAATCCTCCGGCTGAATACTCTGAATAAACCCATCAGTGTTTGACATCAAAGCTCCAACTCTCACCGTGTCTCCTTCCTGAGTCGGTGACTCCATGCATTACTACACAGAAGTTTCCTCCACAAATTGGCGTTGTCGGCAGGATACCAACAGATCTTCAGAGACTGGTAAGTGTGATTTCAAATCTACATTTGGACATTGCCTTACCAGAATCTGTGATTGACGGTATCCTAAAATTATCTGTGAAGCTAAGCGGCTGCGTTTCGTTTTGGTTAGTGAACATTTGGGGCTAGTAACCCCAGGGGATCATCCAGGGACTCTGTCTTGGCTGGTTCCCTCTGTGTGTGCTGCTCGGGACGTATGTGCCTTGCAGGCATACACGGAGATGTTTAAAAAGACCTTAATGAGGGCAGCAGTAAAGTGGAACTTCTGTGTGAAATCAAAATAGAGATTTGTAATGAACAAATCGCCGAGATTCCGGGGGTTTCAGCGGCCAACACTAGCAGTTAACTCAAGCAGCCAGAGATATTACCCCCAGCGCCTCTAAAAAAAACACGGCTCCAGCTGCGGCTCCGGGGAATGTGTGTAAAATACCTCCCCGTATCTGCATGAGCTGGTGAAGTGAACTCAGAGGGAGAAAATCACAGCTTTTGTCTATAACTTTAACTCACACCACCGCCGTCTCTATTAAAAACGAGACGGTTTAAAAGCACTCTCGTGGCTTGTGGCCGTTTACGACGTGCTGGCAGGTGCGAGGTGCGTGCATTACCTGATGCGACAGGCTCCCTACTTGCTGGAGGAGCTGGTGCCGGTCCGGGGTGCATACATAAAATTATAGGCTAATTGATCATGGGTGGGCAGTGGCATGCAAGTGTAGAACAAAACTGTGTTTCATCGTTGTGATGAACATGATGGCAGGTGTATAGGCTGGTCGAGTAGGACTACAGTTAACTGTGTAGTTTCGGATAGAAAGGGTAGAGGAGAAAAAAGTCTATGTGCTCCTGATCGGGGGGGCATAGCACCACTAGAACAGGGATAGTGGGGTCGCAAGAGGATAAGCTAGTTATTGCTCTTGGACGGTCTTCAGGCACCGATCTAGGACTTGTATACAAGGGTGGGTGCGCGAGTCATGGTGCCCCACTGGGTTCCCCATTGGGGAGAGATCATATCCCTACCCCCTCTGAAACCTCTTTAATCCGGACTAAATTGAGCTGGATGAACTTTGCTGTCACGCTGGTGTTTATTATGAGTTCATGTTTGTTCGTCTAATTGCAGTGTGGTTTTTCTTGTACTAACCGCCGTCTTGTGCATGTTTTGTAACAACTAATAATGAATCAGTCCATAGCCAGGGTAAAATAAACTAAGCTTTAGTTAACTCACCAAAAGTAAATGACTTGAGAAAAATAAATAATATATAGTGTTTTGCAAAATTCTGGTAGTATAGATGTGCTGCAAAATGAAAATAAATAGCAAAAGAGTGTTTTTATGTCCTGCATCTGAGTGTCCAGAGGAACATGTAAACAAGGAGCACACTGTTCAGGGTGTGCGCTGTAGGTGTAAGAAGAAGAGAAGATTATATTACTTTAAGAATACATTCTTAAATTGTATTGCTGGTATGTTAAGATATGTTTGTGACCTTTTATAAACCCTATGCCCCGTCCTGCACCCTGAGACCCTCAGAGGCATCACTGCTGGTCGTAAACAACCTGCCTGAGGAGGTCAGGGTGGCAAAATCTGTCTGCTGTTTTAGGTCAATGTTGTATTATTTGTTTCATTTATTCTTAAATCTATGTATTGTATGGTAATAATGAAAAAAAAAACGTTATGTATGGAACACATTCCGAAACAAAGCTGATAAGACAGAACTAGACTGAGACATAATACAAATTATTGTTGAAACATTTTGCGCTGTTGCTGCAAAATGGAAACTTTGTTTATTATCTATTCCAACTGGCCACTGGATTCAGATAATTAATATAAGTTGAAGTTTTAATTACAGTTTTAAATATAGTTTAACATTCTTTATTAAACTGCTTCAAATGATTTCTCGTATCAACCAATTGGTCTCCATAGACATTACTAAAATTATAATAGTTGTTAAACTACTGACAAGTTTTCTGAAACCGAGCTTATGAACAAAAGAGTAAAGGTCGCTGGTTAAGC